ACGGACTCACCGCCGATGCCTGCAAGCAACACAGCAACCCGCAGCAGCTCCTGCAGCCCAGAGCAAGGTGCAGACACCATCGATGCATGAGGTGCTTGGCCACCGCAACGACAACGACGTGCAGCAGTACTGCAAGCTGATGGGCATCGACGATCGCAACGCCATCAGCAGCAAGCAGTGCGCAACGTGTGCAGTCACCAAGAGCACTCGTCACAGCGTCAGCAAGCACGCGGAGCGCACACAGGTGCCCGGCAAGCGCATCCACGCCGACATCGTCGACTGGACCGCGGACTCGCCCACGGGCAAGCGCTACAGCCTCGTCATCGTCGATGAGGGCAGCAAGCTCCTGCATGCAGTCCATCTCAACGCCAAGAAGGACGCAGTTGCCGCGTTCCAGTCTTTCCTGCGCGAGACCAAGCTCCCCATCTCGCCCACAACAACAGCACTCCAGACTGATTCCGATGCCATCTTCCTCGGAGCTGACTTCCAGGCCATCGTCAAGAAGCACCTGAAGCAGCACCAGCAGTCCCCGCCGTACACCCAGGCGCAGAACGGCATCGTCGAGCGACAGGTGCGCACCCTCTCCGACATGGTGCGAGCCATGATCACGGGTGCAGGCCTTGACGCATCGTGCTGGAGCCTCGCCTGCAACCACGCCCTGCACATCCTCAACAACATGCCTCGCCCTTCCCTCCACGGCAAGACACCGCTGCAGATTGTCACGGGCTCGCTGCCCAAGCACGTGCCGCAGCTGCGCGTCTTCGGGCAGCCGGCCGTCGTCCACATCAGCACACAGCGTGGACGCCTGCAGCCCAAGGGTCGTCGAGGCATCTACGTCGGCCACAACAGCAGCAGCAACAGCCACCTCGTCTACTTTGAAGACACAAACACCGTTGTGTCCTCCATCCACGTCCGCTTCCTTCCCTTCTCCAAGGCCGATGATGTCGTGGATGAGGGGGAGGAGCAAGTGCAGACATCCACGACATCGTCCATGCTCCAGCTTCCCAGTGCACGTGACAGCAGCAACAGCACCACTGACGGTGAGCCACCAACGGTTCACATCGACGAGGAGCAGGACGAGGATGTCGAGACAGACTTCCTGCTCACGGACTTTGACGCCGACAGCGGCGACACCAACGACGCCAACTACGATCCAGACACAACAGATGCAAGTGACACCGAGGCAGGCGCGTTCACAGCAAGCAGCAGTGGCGACACCAGCCTCACGGAGCCTGCAAGCATCAAGCAGGCACTCAAGAGCCAGCAACGCAAGCAGTGGACTCAGGCGTGCCTGGATGAGATCGGGGCGATGGA